TATTACAGTTTTATCGAGTTTCACTTCCTTGTGCTTTATATATGGATCCAGGGTGTAAGATGGTGGCTCGCTAACCTGTAGCTTCCGTGTCCGATGCCGGTGTTGGCCGAGAAAGTTCATCTGGATTTTCTGCCGCGGTTCTCCACCTTGTCAATGGTACAGGACGGAGGGCCTGACCAGGCACAACAAATAGTCGCTTGGATTTGACGAAAAATCGAGGTCCCCCATACACATTGGCATGCACGTAAAAGAAACCTTGACAGTTGGAATTCGATATGAGAGTAGGATGAATTACTGCTGTCTGGGCACAATTTCCCTCATAGCACACTGTATGATGTATTCCCGTTTTCATTAGCCCAGTCGGTGCAGAACAGTAGCATGTTAAACCCATTTCATTTTATGTTTTATAGAACATATTTTTTACGATTTTCAAAATGGCGTTGGCCCGTAAAGTAGGTTAGACATTTTTTTAAGTCTGTGGCATCCCTTGTGTGTGGGGTGGTCGACGAATAGTGGTGGCTTGTAGACAACAATGCACTATTTAACTGATAAGAATTTTTTTTTTAATATATAAAAAAAAATATGCTTCGAGGTTTAAAACCGAACAAAACGATTTATCAAGACCGATTAATGTTCTGGGGGATAATTTGTTCGCGGTCATAAAAAAAATACCCAATTAAACAACGCGATATCTCCAAAATGACCCTCAGTAAAACAGTATTCGCTTACTGGCGCCCACCCGATAAATTCTCGGACAAGGACAATGCGAATCTCCATTTATTACATGAGGATCATTATATATGTTTGCTTTCAGTATAAATCCTCCATTTTGTTTTTTTATTTCAAGCGACTATATAAAATCTCTGTTATGATCATATTCGAATGTTTGGACGGCATGTGTTGGGTCGCTAACCGTTCTTTGTAGCCATTATCCCCCTATTAGCGTACTATTTGACTATGTTTTGTAGTATTGGGTATTTATGATGATACGATGATATGTTAGACAGATATTAAAAAAAAAATGTGATAAATGGCGAAAATAGTATTCTCTTTAAACAGGTGTAGAGCATCAAAAGAACACTAGCCCACTTCCTTCCTTTCTTATTATCGAATGGACGATTTTTACAAACTTCTTTTAAAAGAAATTAAACACCCACTTTATGCAGAATCCCAAAGAGCAAAACGTATTGTTTTTCGAATTTCGAAATCAAAGAATTAAAATAAGATGAACAATATTTCGTTAAATGACATCTAGAAGTATGTTTATAACTATTAACAGCAAAACACTGTCCAAACGACTGTCGGGGGGAAACCACACTGGGAAATTGCGATGAACACCAGAGTCGAACAGCAAGGCGACACCTTCAGGTTAATGAGCCAGCGTCTTACTCACTGAGCCACCGCAGATCCCAATAACGTTACAATATCATTCACAAAATTTGTCTTCATAATAATGCATTTTTAAAAAACAACAATTAAGAATAAATGGAATGGCGTGCTTACTTTAATTATCTATAATAGCTGTAATTGTTACTATAGCATTGAGCACTTTGTATCGAAAAATGTATTTCCCCCAGTTCATTAGTAAAACTGTAGTTGCAAGTTAAGCGGCTCAAAGGAATTATATTGACTTGAAAGAATTACAGATGCATATTGCACGATAAATTTATGTATATAACCCTATAGAGTAAGATATACATGGCAACCATAAACTTAAACCCTTCTTACTTTATACATATATCTAACCAAAATGACCCAAGTAGTGTTAATAAAGCGCTTACTGGACGCATAGAAGTTTTTTGAACCGAGACTCAGATGTGGGTCATTTGTCGGACTGTCTTTCAAAGACAAGTTAAGTATAGACTAGACTGCTATAATACCAGGAATTAGTCTATGTATATGGTTACCATTTCGTGTTATTTAGCCATACTATTCTCTTTTCATTAAGAAAACTAATCAATATGTTACAAGAATGTAACTCCGTATTTAATAATAGGTTGGTGGTGTTTCTGATAATCAGAGAATTGAATGACATGATAATGTTTCCTGTACTAGAAACCCCATCTGGACAATGGCGTGTCCTTCTACCCTGCTTTGAATTCCTGTTGTTAAAATGCTAACAACTGTATGCAAACCAGAATAATTTGTCGTCATTAATTGATTTTTAATTAAGCTAAATATTGAATATGAATAATAATAATTTAGTTTAACCTTGGGTATTCTCTGTGAAATCCAAAAATTGGAGTTTTCAAACGTTTAATTTGAGAAATATGAAGGTTTGTAAGATTCAATATTAGATGACAATAATATAGGATGTTTTAAGGCATGGATAATCTGCATACATTAATAACAATATTGATACTTTAAGAGTACTTTTACGGGAATTGCTAATATCTACACGGGTCTTCGCCACATTCCAGTGAGAGAACACAAAGCCATTGCCAATGACAAGTTGGAACCGGGATAACCTGTTTGACATCCTCAACGTAAGTCATAAGTAATAAATGACAAACTTGATATCAAAATGTATACGAGACTGGTTTTGTAGTGTGTCTAGAACACACGATACCACTTCCCATTTTTGTATGTAAACGTGTTAAGCCAAATCTCTAAAACACATTATGTTAATATCTTAAAGATACACTAGGGAAGACCAGATAAAGAGCTGGCAGTTCTTGCTATAATATTTAAAAACTAGATAATATATGCTGAAAATTTCAGCCAAATTGATCCACTCTGAACTGAGATTTTAGCGATTAAATTTTCGACCTAGCCTCGATCATCATTACTAAAGTCGGTAAACATAGTCTCGATTATCCATTTCATAACTAAATCATGAATGAAAGTTGATCCTAATCCAGTAAATATCGCATGCTAGCGTTGACATCGAGAGTTGATTATGGTCTGGATAAGTTAATTAATGTCTCATTAATAATTAAGATAACATTTCAGGCATAAAGAAAGACCTGCATTAGGCAGATTTGGCTCTTGCATAATGTATGTTTAAGTAGTATTAAGTAATTCCCAAAGTTTTATTTATTTCAAATAATTTTGTTTGGCGTTTTTAAACCGCTTTTTTCTTCTTACTTAGAAGTTTACGTCCGCTTTTTCCCAGGACGTATTTCAACATAAATCTTGATAGCACTTCAACACCTTCATCAACTACTATTGTCACAAAAGGTAAAGCGACATAAGGTAAACCTTGTTAAAGGTGAGAGAGATAGATAAGGTGATATTTGACAAGTTTAAGGCAAACAATCAGTGTCATAGTTTACTTACTGTATGTAAGATCAATAGATTTACTATTACCTACATATAGATAATTTACTTACATACTACTTATCAGTCACATATATTTAATGAGCGAATTTTTACACTATTCAAAAAGTGAATCGATATTGTGAACCGTGAAAGGGAATAAAATTAAAATTTAAATACTTCGGAAAATACAAAATAATTGAAATATTTTTTTGTATTATGCTGTCTTTTAGTTTTGCTACAAAATACTGTCTTCTTTTCTTTTTCCATCTTCATTAGCCTAGTCGGAGCAGAACAGTAGGACGTTAAACCCCCATGTCATTTCATTTCCCGTCAAATAATATTAATAGTTATTATAAAACCCGGATACTAATTGTATCGCACATTAAGCATAACACAACTCTTGTATTTCTTTAAAAAAAAATTCTTGAAATTTCAATTTCACACAAGACTGTATTATTACTTGAGATGTAATATTGTTTATCTAACTATGCATACCAGACAGTTCGTGACCCGAATCTTTATAAACAAATAATCAACAATGCACCGAGACGGACACAAAATAAATAAGATAGTAAAATTATAAAATGAATTTAAAACAAAAAATTAAAATCGATAATCAATCAATATTTGCTAATATTTCTTTTTCTAGCCAGCCGGGGGCCTTTTCAATAAAATAAATAATAATCACAAGTAATAAACCCCGAAAATCTTGGTCTTCCGTCTGATCCGAGTCCGACCAGTTAATGCCCTTTCATCAAAATCTATATTCGACACAATACAGCCAGAAAAGATTTTCTCCATAATGATCCAAATTGAACAAGAACAATTTATAAACATCAATATGAACAAATTTGGCAGCTCAACAACCTGTTGCGTGTTTTTCACTCAACAAACAGTTGGTAGCTTTATCTGGCGGTAATTTAGTTGCGTATAAAAGTTGTTTTGGGACTTTAAATTTCTCACGTTGTAGTGCGAATTGTGTTCAGTGACGGGGAAATGATACTAATGTATTTTGACAAGACATTCAATGTGTATTTTCCACCTGAACCCTAGCAGGAAGAAACCTTTAGTAGTCGTCTGCTTTTTTTCTCCATCTTTTGCTGTCTCGTTTCTCCCATTCTCTTTCGTCAAACGTCGTTCGTTGAATACTTACGACTGACGCCGATAACCCCATGGGGTTGAATCGTCGCCCGTAGAGGCGAACAAATACAGGGAGTTTCTATGTTTCGCTCGGTGGGTTGCCCACTCATCCCATTGTTCCCGAGTTTCGCCAGGATTCTCCTCAAGTGTTTGGAACAAATGAATTTAGGGAAACGAACAATAGCCATGTTTCTCTACGAACAAATATTTCGGTCCAGCAGAACGACCTAACAAGTGCTTTCTCCTTTTCTCCCTTAATTGACCAAGAGCGGCATGTGATCGTTTGGGATGTGAAATTAGCTCGATCGCTTAATGAACTCCCCAAATAGACTCACTGGTTGTGTATGGTATGGACCCCGCCATCTCAAGACGTCATTTATTACGAGGGAGTATTGATCAGATATTTCAAGCCCCATTATTTTGCTTGAAGAATTTTCTAACATATTCTCAAAAATATCGTAATTTGTTTTATGAATCAATCAATGTACTTTGACCCGAGAAAATCAAAATATTACAAGCACGTTTGTTGATTATTTTAGGCAAGGCAAAATCAAGGATATTAATCACCACTTTAAAACCGATATAAACAAAACTGAAACTAATGAAATAATTTATTTATTTGGCATTAAAAGGATATCATTCAAAATTACATATTATACACATGTATCAGAGCGTAAACACATTAAAGCCGCTTATCGTCATTTGAGGGACGTTGAATCATTTGCAAACTACAATATTTATGGTGAAAGTCCAAGGGAGTAAGACACTAGCTCGGGATTTTCCGGCGTGGTTTCCCCTAGTCAGTGGTGCAGGACGGAGGACATGACAAGGATAGCGGTATAGTCGTTCTGATGGTACGAAAAACAGAGGTCCCGTGTACATATTGGCGTGCAGGTAAAAGATCCCTTGGCAGTTGGACTTCGATATAAGAGTAGGTCGTAGCGCCGCTGTCCGGGCAAAATTGTCCTCATAGCACACTATACAGCGTATACCCGTCTTCATTAGTCCAGTCTGAGCAAAACACAGTAGGGCGTTAAACCCCATTTCATTTCATTTCTATCAGTTTAAAAAATGGTTCAATTCCATTCAATATGTACAGAGATCTGATGAATAGAACATTTGGCAACATTCGCCTTACGTTGCAAATGATATAAACAAGTCAGTGCCAGCTATATCTGTTGGGTAGAACCATTTAATCCGATTGAATCCAGGTCGGGAGATCTCCACCGTTGATATTTTGATTTCTTAATTAAAGGTCATATACATGTACATGTATAAGCAATGTGAATGCATTGTATCGTCCAAGGAATATGAACTCTAATTGACGACAGGTGACATAAACCTAAAATAACAATTAAACATAATATTTACATTAATATTTATCAATGTTAAAGACTATCTTTAGCTTTCACACTGCACCCGTTCTGGTGTCAACTGAATTCAACATTGAATAATTGACAAACATTTACCATAAACAAAGTTAAATCCTTAAATCTTCTGTTGGCAGTACGTTTTTTTTTAACTTTGAATACCATGCCGTTAGGTGTGACCAATGCGTCCGCTAATAAAAACACGAAAAAGCTTGACGTGCAGCGAATAAAAACTAAACGATAGATGACGAACTGAAAGACGATATAGCCTAATTACCAACCAAGTGGAAAAATCAATCTCCGTTTTGAGGAAATCAAATAATAAATTGGCATTTGATCTAAAGTTGGTTAATTTTCAACGCTTGAAGGCCAGAACTTGGAATGTATTTGTTATTTGAACTGCTACTTGATCTGTTAGTTAAATAAAGCCAATTAGAAGGCCTTGACGACTTAGATCTCGTTAAATTAGTTCTATTGTATCTAAGGAGTTAATCGAGTAGCAATTCATTCACCATTCACCCCACTTTTCTTTACCCACCACCAAACGTTATGTTCCAATCTTTCTCTTGCATCCAGGGGTTTATCTCGCCATTTTGCTAGTTTGTTTCTTGGAAAAGGATTTTTATGAAAGCCAGTAACCACAGGAGATTTTTTTCCCACTGATGGAACAATAAATGATTCTGGTATAGAGGATGAGTATGGGAATCAGAAAGGGGAAAATAGAAAAGGTTAACGGAGAAGCTGAAAGTAAACTATTCGTTAATATTTTATTCTATTTTAAGAAATCGTCCATATATGATGAAATCAGACGTCAATTACGTTTCGTTTTATTAGTGAAAGTGTAAAACCTGAAACAATAAACGAAACGAACTATGCAATTTTAATTAAATTGAGATATCATCCACTTTTGTCCTTGCTACACGATAATATACAGTCCACTCTATATAGATTACCAACGAAATTGAGGAATCCCATTATAATTTATTTACTTACAATCAACATTAAGTTCTCTCACATACATCGCCTACAGAAAAAGACATCCGTTTAAATCCAGCTGAAACAGAAACAAATATCAGCGGAAGTTATTTTTTAACGTGAAGATAAATGCAAATCTGGTTTCTATATTAGCATACATGCTTTTTGTGATTTATGTGTCGGAGACAGTAGTCTTCAGTTTGCTATCATTATATATTTATTTTCCATTTTTTAAATAATCATCACTGAGTGTAATTTTATCTTTACTATTTCTAGAACACCAGATACCACTTTTATTTTGAGAAGTTCAACAAGCTAGAAAATATTGATGTAAACATTTGTGATAATAATTCAAACATTGGGGATAGTGTTATCTTTACATTTTCTAGAACACCCCGATACCACTTCATGGAGATATAGGAAAGTTTGTGATAATAATAAAAACATCGAGGATATTTATATTTAAGTGTTGGGTGTTTAAGTAATTACATATGTATCTTTTGTTTGTAATATGTTTATATATTTGTGTGTTTAAGATCAAAGAGTAATACATATTCAGATCGTATATAATATATTCTATATACCATACACACCCTCTCGGTCGAGCAAATCCCATCATGTTGGACCAGTATGATGTACGTCTAAATGTCAAAGATAATTGTTGCGATTATTAAATTAGTCAACTTGACATTTAGAATATGCCTGGCTTGTAAATATAAATCAAACACTAAAATATAATATTGTCCATTTTAAAGAGATGAGAGGGGGAAATGACACAGCGGTTAGTGATCTAGACCTGAGGCCTGTGTTCATTCTCTCTAGCTGCGGGTCGAACCCCTCCCACTTGAATAGGATACATTTTCTATGTCTTTCACTTTACTTGTTACCAATAAAAAGCACGGTGAAGTAAAGGTACTCTTGGGAATTATGTATCAAAATGTGACATCAGTATGTATCAAAATGTATTTCTGTATATAGTTTCGGCACCTATGCACTTTTTTTCAAATATTTTGTATGATCTATTACTGAATAAAGACGTATTATTATTATTATTATTAAATCCCAAGCAGTCGAGACCATCATTGAAGGTTTTTCTGTGACCACATCCGATTCAGATGGATAGGCAGTCACTTTATGCTATGTGTGCTATTTTGTATAAAGAATATCACATCTTGTTATTAAACAGTCATTATTATTATTATAAATTTTATTCACGAAATGAAAACATAACCAGAATAATAAAGTAATTTATGTATATCAGTCCTGTGATATATACAAAAGAAAAATAACATTAGACGTATTTACATGTCATAAAGTAAACGTAATAATATTCCCTAGCCATACAATAACCATTCAGTGTTGTATTACGATACCAGGAATCTTAAAGCCGTGTTGGTTGTCTCCCAATTCTACTGGATCTTCAGTCCTTTTCTTAGTAATGGCAGATAAGAAGATCGATCACAAATACAATACTACATGAACTTCTGGAACAACTCTAGCCATATACTGCCCCTAATCTCCATAAAGACATTAGAATACTGTTCACTGTTATTGTCAGTTTCTAAACCATTTCTTATCTTTTATCCAAATGTGCTACCTTTTACGTTTTAACGTTCAGAGAGGGGGGTTGGATGGCCAGCACGTGCGCGCTGTATCATAAAGTCTGTCATTAAGTCAACCGGCGGGGTTTCGATTCCCCGGTTGTACGTGACAAGGAGTAGGGTCGCCTGTCCAACCTCGTGGGTTTTCTCCGGGTCCTACGGTTTCCTCCCACTGCTAAAGACCCCTACGCGCAAAATTGAACCATATGTTAGTCCCGAAATGATCTAGTCTGTGTCGAGTGGACGTTAAACCCATCTCTCTCTCTCTCTCTCTCTCTCTCTCTCTCTCTCTCAACGTTCAGAGATATGGGAGCATGTGATATGCTTCAGCATATTAATGTAATAGTAAGTGCAGGGGGCTGCACTAAACGCAAACAAAACTGATAAGACCAACCCGCCGTCAAGACATAATTTCATTGAAAGCAATAAATATCAATTTAGGGCAATGGATCCAGCAGCCAACCTTAAACGCCCAATGCGCTATAGTCGAGGGATTCTTATGATGATACACGTTTCACTCAAAATGAAAAACAAAACAATGTTTGAGAAGAAAGAAATAACGCGACAAGTAGCGACAGTAAAACAACGAATTCGTAGATATTTTTATTGAAAAGTTTTTTTGGCTAGTACTCATAATGAATGCGCTGTGAGAAAAATCGACATTTCAAAATAAAATCGCGAATAAATTGTGAAAATACATACAAGTTTAAAAAATACCTTCAATAATCATTGGTTAATAAAGAGATAAAAGATCTACCCAAATCAGTTAAATCATTTAAAAAAAAGAGTCCCATTTAAATTTTGTTTACTTTCATTTTTCAGTGATTTGTTAAAGAACAGGTGACAGAAATGGAATCATGCATACAATTGGTTGAGGTTAATTTAGTTTTATGACGCTACGATATAATGAACACACAAAGAAATACATGTAGTAAAGGTACAACGATCTCAGAGAGTTCAAGGGTACAAATTGGTCAATGGTTAAAACGAAATAAAAAGAATTTTGTCTCTTTTTGTTCAGAGAAATATCATTGCTTTTGAATAAAACAAAATATGAAATGCTATGAATATTATTTCTGGTTCTATTATCATAGTTTTTATTAAAAAGCCATAAAAACTTTAACGTGACTGATGTTAAATGAACCCAAATACGAGTCGATACTTCATTCACTGGCATCATTAGTAATAATGGCCATTATTTAAAGTTTGAAAAATAAATGGCCGAGAATTGCGCGAAACTTCTGATAGTCATCAACGCCATCAGTCTAAACTACCTGATTTTATTCAGCTTTGGTAAAAACAGAATTGATATAACGCTGGGGATTATGATTTTTTTTAATGTATAAAATGGTAAAATGAATTTAGAAAAAAAATTAAAGTGAATTTAGAAAAAAAATTAAAGTGAATTTAGAAAAACAGAAAATGAATTTAGGAAAAAAGGAAAATAAATTTAGAAAAAAAAAACCTGTTACATAAAACTGTTTATGAATATAAATTGACAATTTAATGAACACACGTGTGACAGCGGCACATTTTTAATTTTAATCAAATCATCTTTGGAGTTTTGGATTTTCAGTATAGTACTAACACTTAACCATGGACCATTCAGATTGGAAGTAACAGCCCCGCAGCCTTAACCTTTCCAATTTATTTTGAATAGAATATTAACAAACGACCCGTCAGATTTTTCACGTAGTCACAGACGTTCCAATGTCATTATGTAATGTCCATGGCGAATAAAGTATAAGAGATTTTTTGATAAATGAAATTTGAGTTATGATTAAAAGAGAATATGTTTTGGAAATTTCGGCAATAAAATAAGCTATACCAGAAATGACAGAAGCTATTTCCTTTACTTTGTGGCTTAATTTCAGTGCAGATTTCAGAATAGGACACGTATGATTTTTTTAAAAAAAAACAAAACAAAACATATTTATTCTTTAGAAAAGTACGTTTGAAAACCCAAATATTTATTCAGTAGAACAATAGAATTAATGTTCTTGGACAGCTAAAATTGGATCTCTTTGTGAGTGGTCACGCAATGTATTTTTCAAAAAACAGTTTTAGGAAAACTCCGATTCTACCAAATCATAAAGTCATTGCCTTGTCATCCAGTTTGAATAACATTCACAGTAGGACAACAGGAACCGCAGTGCTTTGTCATCATTTTAGTTGAGCCGAATGATAAAATAAACGTTCAATACGAACTGCGTGTAGTCATTCCAGAAGCGGCTATACGGCTCATTAAAGTTGCTTTGTATAGAAATTGTTGATCGGCGAATGGCCATTTTTATGCCATGACGTTAATCTCCAACACGAACAGAACACAAGACAAAACTCAAACAAAATAACTGCGCATGTCATGAACTATCAACGAACGGAAATTGTCTCCAATTCCCGCATGTCGTGTTCGATTATGACAAACGGCCTACCCTGTATTCCAGTTACCCTTACGTAATAATTTTCTCTCTTTCACGGACATTCTCAATGACATATTCTTTCTCAGTAATGATGGATGGACAACGGGAAAAAATGACGATCGTGCATACACACGTGTGTATACAAAGCGATGTAGTTATTCAAACATTGATTTTATCGTTAGCTGAATAATAACTGTAAATTACTATAATTATAGTTTTAATAACTGATAATGTATCAAGTTACGTGGTCAATAATATTGTGATAAGCTTGCCAACTTGAATAAGATAGTGATTTTCTGCTTCCTTTTCAATATTGGCAATCTATCAGTTATACTTTGCATTTATTCGCGTCATATTAATGCACCCGATTGAATATTATTACGACCTAGGAGGAGGCATTTCTTTAACGAAATAAATCGGCCTATAAGGAGATATAAAGCAACTCATTTTTACCTTTCGCTACATTTGCGTGATTAAAGAGATCGATGAGACAGAGACGTGTATTAATATTTGAAATAAAATGAAACGGATTTTAACGTCCTATTTATCTACCTCATCCGGGCTAATGAACCATGTGGGAAATTTTGCCCGGACAACGGCGCTATGGCCTGCTCTTACTTCGAATCCCACCTGTCAAGGGTTCTTTTATGTGATCATCTCTGGCATATCACCCAGTAGATCTGTTATCACGGCAATATTGTAAATATATAATTTAAAATACGAATACATGTACTTGATTACTTGAGATCTGACTTGGAAATCCCGTCCTACACCAAGTGACAAGGGGAAACCACGGCGGAAAATCCATAGCAACTTTCTCGGCCAACATCGTATAACATTAGACAGGCATATGCTATATTCCACAGATCAAAGAAGGGCCAATATCTAATGCCAATCTTTATCCAAATAGATAAATGTTGAAAACTATCCATGGCGGTGTAGGTAGTAAAACATCGTATTGTTTGTAGGATAATAAATACTATATACTATTAAAGATGTAGACCTATTATGGACGAGATAAATTTGCCTATTGCGGTGCTTTTTTCCGACATTAAATGTTATATGAATTAATAAATGAATGTAGTTAACATGTTAAATTATTTGCATGCCTAAATTAAATCAATAAAAACAAAAACATAAGATTCAACTTTCGTTTAAAGGCTCAATACCACTCTTGTTGTAACTGATTAATATGTCCCAATCTTTATTCTGGTCAACAAATTGTACTATTTTAAATATTCCAATTAATTGATGATACAAATTTCATCTTAACACACCTAATTTAAAAAAATAGAAAAATTCAACTAGATGATTTGAAAAGCCTGACGTAAAGCTTTTCAAATGTGACTTGGATTTA